TCCTTGGGGGTGGGGGCTCGGGTTAAAATAACGCACGTTACAAAGCCTGCGTGTTAAATCTCTGAGTTTCGAGATATCTTGGGGCCACCCTGCAATCTCCCTACATGGCCCCAGGGCGAGCCCTTACACACACACACACACACACACACACACACACACACACACACACACACACACACACACACACACACACACACACACACACACGCAAGAGCCAAACCTTCTAAACAAAACACACAGAAAACCAAGGACGTGTCCTCATGTTGGACACGAGTAAGAAGAAGAAGGGTCAGGGAGGTTTGGGCTGCTGTAGCTGAACGATTCCCCAGAGGGTCAAATAAATGTTGCTGTGCCAACTAAGTTGCCTTATACATTCAAGTTTAAAGACTGAATTAGAATACAATCTTTACTAATCCCAAAAGTTGTGTTCGTTATCTTATTTTCTTCAATAATCCTTAATCCCATTGGCTTTTTGTAGACCGGTATGATGCTGACCTCCGGGTCGGATGCTTCGCCGTGCTTCGTTGTTACCTTAAATACCCGATCCTGTAAGCAAAAAGATCAATGATGTGGTTAGGATGTGTTCGATGAGTAAAGAACAGTTAATACGGGGGGGCTTGGATGTGACCTGATGCTCATGAAACACTGCGAGTTGTTCTTCTTCCAAAATAAAACATTCCAAGAATGTCTAAACCCGACAAAGAGCCTGTGAGCGCTTCTTGTTTTCTCTGAAAGTGATTTTTATTGTTCTTGTGTGCAGACTAAGTGATAAACACTGTCGGCATGCACAGACAAGACAGCAGATAATAAGTAGTAAGATGAAACTACAAGCCCCGTGAGCTCCGAGATTTTGGGGGATGAGAATTTCTGGAGTTTGTTCATGTCGGCCGACCCTATTGGGATGGTTCTGGTTGGAGTTACTTTACTTTGGTAACTTTAAGCCGTAATAGAAAACTTGTTTCAGTCCCATCTCTCTTTAGACATTAAAGCACATTGAACGTCAGTCAGCCAGCTGGTACCATGGCGCTCTTTTAAAAAAAAAAATCCTTCTCCATCCCCCCCCGTTCAGGTACGCCGGAGTCGCTGGAGGAAAAGGAGCACCAACTTTCCACCATGATCGGTCAGCTGATCGGCCTGAGAGAGCAGCTCCTCTCCGCCCACGATGAGCAGAAAAAGATGGCCGCCTCACAGCTGGAGAAGCAGAGGCAACAGATGGAGCTGGCCAGGCAGCAGCAGGAGCAGGTGGGGGGTCTGAGTCACTCCTTCCAGCGGAAACTTTTAAATCACAAGCTTAATCGCTGAGATTTGGGGATGCAGATGCAACAGGTTTAAGAACATAAAAAAAAATCTTATTGACAGACGATCAAATTGGTTTGAAAAACTTTCAGCAAAATCATTCAGCAAAAAATAAGAATTGTGTAATACAAAGCAATGCCTCCTTATGCCCTCTCTTTTCTGTGAACGGGGAAAAGGGATTTGCCCTTTTCTTTACATATTCGTAAAAGGCCTAAAAACTTTGACTGCTCACATTTGTCCTTTGTCTTTGTCGGACTTCCTCCTCGTTACGCTCCGACGTTTAATGTCACCAGAACACAAAGCCGTGACAGCCAGAACCTCCACAATTACAGGTTTTTTGTCGTAAACACGAAGAAAACAGAGAGAAAACAAAGAAGAAAACATTTGCGCGTCTTTCTGTACGTGATGCCTGAGCGCGTTGTCTCCAGGTGTCACCCGCGAAGACACTTAGAGTGTCGCGGTACAAAGGGACAGCGTCGGCAGGCGAGGGGCTCAGGTGAGCAGCTCTTTGTCTTTGGCTGTTAGCCGACACGTTTACTGTAGGCCGACATACAACGGGCTCTGTTTGGACAAGTTCACGCCTCCCATCACAACACATTCCACCTTTCACGGCTTCACAAAGGAACGGGAACGATGGAGAGAGTGAAAAGAAAGACAGATCCCAATATCCGCCAGTCATTTGGCTGTTGGGACTTGATAGGATAAAGCCCCGCGGGACAAACGGCGAGAAATCTGCCTTTAATGAAATATGACATGTGTGCAAATGGGGCGCCGCCTCCCATTCAGCAGCCTGTAATTATATTTCAGAAGAAATGTGCGTAATGACTTTGCAAGAAAAAAAAGAGAGGCAGCTGCTTTAGGAAGGGGGGGGGTGTCGAATGGTTGACGTGCTGCGCCTTCAAGGGATTTAACCTCACGGGACCCGCCGGTCCGAGCTGCCCGTCACTGGCTGAGAGTCAGTCCTGCAACATGTGACCTCAGGTGTTATTAAATACACGTCCTTACATCAGAATAACAGGGATGAATGGCTACAATCGCCCCTCCCCCTGTTGTTGGGTCGCCAAGTAAACATGTCAATCAGACCTTCAGTGTCAGTTCAGAGAGAAACTTGCCGCGCTGCTAAAAGCAAAGTGTTGTTCTTGAATGCAGCACTGAACAAACACGCCGGACTCACTTCTGCGTGTTGTTTAACATTCTGGCCTTTATCGATATAACGTCACTGTGAATAAACGTTTTGAAAAGATTAAAAAAAAAATTCTCGTTGTTTTTTTTCTACAAAAAAAAATTTTTTGTTAACAATTTTCCCTTTTGTTAAGTTCTTTTTTTTTTTTTGGGGGGGGGGGGGGGGGGGGGGGGGGGGGCGGCATCTGTTGATGCATTGAAACATGACAGCTGTTTGGGCTCATTAGGTCTGTGGGCAGATCATCAATATAGTTGAGAAGATTTTTTTCCAATTAAAAAAGTAACAAAACACAATCACTGTTAGATTTTAAAAACAAAACTACTTATTCTCATCCT